AAGAAATTATGATTAAAGAAAGTTTGGCCCCAAACTTGTTTAAAGCATATACAAATTCTTTGTGGGGTTGATATATATAATACAAATATTTCTCTGCCCTTAAAGTATCYAATGCAATGACAATACTAATTAATTATTTTTTTTGATTTATAGAATATCTTCTACTATCTCCRTACTTCATTCATTTCCAAATTCATGCTTTCACCGATAAAAACAATTGGTGAAACCAAARCCATCAARTAATWCGAAGTTCYGCTKTGTATAGTTCCTARCMACAATATCAAGAWGCTGAATCTTTGAAACGCATTTATGAGATGACTCTTCTTCAAATTTTTTAAACTTTTTGCATGTTAACATAATCGTGGAATCCTTTATGATATTCCATATTCAACTCTACCCTCTATTCTGAAAACGCAAGCAATCTGTGATATCGAAATAAATTTAAACTTATTATTATGGACTCTCTGCACGAGAAGAGAGAGAAGTGCTTTTGGAGTTGTATAACAGTCCGTAAACGACATGACTCCTTGATCTTTAAGATGATCTTTAAGAGCTTCAGAACAACATAAAACAAACTAGGGAATTAGGTAATATTTGTTGTTCCTTAAACTATCACTATTTCATTTCTTTCTAGATCGCAATTTAAAAATAGAATTTTCGGGTTTGAAAATATTTTCAATTATTTTAGAATTTTATTTGTTTGGAAAATGTGAGTTTTGTTTGTCGATGAAACATTCAAGTTTTCTAAGCCTTTAAGCGTTATATCTAACGTAATTGTGCCCCAAGAGCACATATACATACACATTTTAATAAGGAATAGCTTTATGTTCTATGATGAGATGAAGTAAACATAGTCTCAAAATATGAATTTGGTCAAAAATGGAACTTCAATATATTTCTAAATCTGCTTTACTGGAAKCTATAACAAACCCAGCCATCCATTACGAATCAAAACACATACATATGTTTTGGATCTTAGTCATCGATCCATCATAGCAACCCACGAACATATTTATTACTGTGCGAAATTAAATGCACAAACATAATCGACGCTGGGGATACAGATAGTTTCACGGATTAACTGATATTGACGGCAGATAATTCCACAAGATCTAAACAACAACAAAATACGGGAAATTGCAACTAAACCACAGTTGTTTGGTAAGTGAAAAATATTTGTATACCCAAAACCAGGTATACTAAGCTTGCCACGAAGTTTGTAACAGCCAAAAGGAAACGGTAGAGATTATATAACAGATTTATGTATAACAGATTCTCTGTCTGACCATCTTTATACACACGAACAAGTTTCTCAGTTTTTGAGATATCGGTCTGAAAATTTTCACACGTCTTTTTCTCCCAAAGATCGTTAATATCGGAACACTATAGCATATAACTGCCATACAAACTGAATGATAAAAATCACATCCTTTATAGAAAATTTTATATACAAGATATCTTCACGAAATTGGAAACGGATTATTTTCAAGTTTAGATCGTACTACTATAGCATATAGCTTCCGTACAGACTAAACATTAAAATCAACCCCTTAAATGGAAATATTTTTGTTATTTGTGAGGGGTAKTAAAGCTTCGGTGCAAACGAACTTAACGTTTTTTTTTTGACGACCAAAAACTCGCGCGGCTAGCTTAAATCTCCTCASAACAACAATAATAACAAGCATGGAGAATAAGCAGAATGACGGCATGCCTATCAAGCCGCGCAGATATAACATGTTTGTGGATATTTGTTTCACATTCTTCCCATACCGTTATACCGYCGCGGCGTTGGCGTCAGCAAGCAGCCTGCCGCGCATTCCAACAGTTGCTGATGTTGCTGTGGCATRACGGTGGTTGGTGTTACCATTTAGTGTGACACCTTGACTAGTTCACATACATATCACAAGCATGCCGTTTTCGAGGAAGGCAGTAATTTTTCTTCTTCTTCTTTTTTTATCAATTTTAATACGTAGGTAGTGGTTGTTTTCCAGAAGGGATTAATTTACGACCGCAATTAAAACTATGTGCGCACATACAACCGCACGTTTTGTGTTTGAGATGTATGGCAATTATTGTGACGRTTGTTAYTGTTGTTGTTGCCCTATTGCAGTTATGTGCTGATAGAAGTATTTGTGTCGATAGAGTGAAAAAAATCCTGAAACAAAAATGTGTCACACAACGGACGTGAGTCCATATTAATTTGAGGTTATGTACATGTGTACTTACGTATATGACTATATGCATATATAGTRCAAATGTATATCTTGTGTAAATTTATATCATATACACCAACCATAACCTTACTCTTTCTAATTTTTATATAATAGTTATGTTGTTTTTGTTTGCTGTCTATCCATTTCTCTTGCACAGTTATACATCGCTCATACATCTTATCAGCGTTTTGGGAATTACGCCAATAACCGTCACTACATACCAATAGCAGGTTGTTAAATACATGGAATT